CCCCCAGAAATGACCTCTGTATTTAATTATTTATTTATTAGATTTTTATCCCGCCCTCCCCCCCCCCAAGCGGCTCAGGGCGGCTTACAACCAGTAAAATTAATACAATACATCTAAAATTAATACAATACATCTTATGCGGCCCGCAAGCAACTAGTACAAGGGAGGGAAGAGGAGGCTGCTCAGGGGGAGTGGCTGGAGCCACTCCAGTTGTGGCTTCAGCATGGCAGAACAACCTCCTCTGCTGCAGTCAAGCAGCATGGGAGCGCCTGCCCACTGCTGCACCAATGGCTCTCCAGTCCACCCCTGTGGGTTTTCCTTTGCACCCCCCTCCTAGCCCACCAACCCAGAGCTCTCCAGGTGCTATCTTTATATAGTTTATATCTCTGGTACCTGGATTACGTTTTATGGCACACATGGCCCTGACAAAGGTTTATGTGAGATCCAGCCCTCCTAACAAATGAGTTCAACATCTCTGGCTTAAGGGGACTGGGAGGTAGCTAATGTCACTCCCATCTTTAAAAAGGGTTCCAGAGGAGATCTGGGAAATTACAGGCCAGTCAGTCTGCCCTGGATACCAGGTAAATTGGTGGAAACTGTTATGAAGGAAAGAATCAGTAAGCACATTGATGAACAAAAACTTTTCAGGCAGACTCAGCATGGGTTCTGTAAGGGAAGATCTTGTCTCACTAACCTGTTAGTGTTCTTTGAGGGGGTGGACAAACATGTGGACAAGGGGGACCCAATATTGTTTACCTTGACTTCCAGAAAGCTTTTGATAAAGTTCTTCATCAAAGGGTCCTAAGTAAGCTAAAAAATCACGGGATAAAAGGACAAGTCCTTTTGTGGATCAAAAACTGGCTAATTAACAGGAAACAGAGAGTATAAATGAGCAATTTTCTCAGTGGAAGGTGGTAAGCAGTGGGGTACCGCAGGGATCAGTACTCAGTCCGATGCTTTTTAACTTGTTCATCAGTTATATGGAGTTGGGAGTAAGCAGTGAAGTGGCTAAGTTTGCAGATATACAAAGTTGTTCAGGGTTGAGGAAAACCAGGGAGGATTGTGAGGCACTCCAAAGGGATCTGTTGAGGATGGGCGAGTGGGTATCAACGTGGCAAATGGGGTTCAATGTGGCCAAGTGCAAGGTGATGCACATTGGAGCCAAAAATCCTAAATATAAATACACGTTGATGGGGTCCAAACTGGCAGAGACTGACCAAGAGAGAGATCTTGGAGTCATAGTAGATAACTCACTGAAAATGTCGAGACAGTGTATGACTGCAATAAAAAGGCCAACGCTATGCTGGGGATTATTAGGAAGGGTATTGAAAACAGATCAGCCAATATCATATGCCCCTACATAAATCAATGATGCAACCTCATTTGGAATACTGTGTACAGTTCTGGTCACCACACCTTAAAAAGGATATTATAGCATTGGAAAAAGTGCAGAAAAGGGCAACTAGAATGATAAAAGGGTTGGAACACTTTCCCTATGAAGAAAGGTTAAAGCGCTTAGGGCTCTTTAGTTTGGAGAAACGACGACTGAGGGGTGACATGATTGAGGTTTATAAGATGATGCATGGGATAGAGCAGGTAGAGAAAGAGGTACTTTTCTCCCTTTCTCACAATACAAGAACTCGTGGGCACTCCATGAAATTGCTGAGGAGTCGGGTTAGAACAGATAAAAGGAAGGACTTCTTCACCCAAAGAGTGATGAACACATGGAATTCACGGCCACAGGAGGTGGTGGCAGCTACAAGCATGGACGGCTTCAAGAGGGAATTAGATAAACATATGGAGCAGAGGTCCATCAGTGGCTGTTAGCCACAAGGTATGGATAGGGTATGGCTGCGAGAGTTGGAGGCAGAAGAAACGTCTTGCGGGCATCTGTGACTCTAAAGACTGCCTCTTTGGGAATGATTCGGGGAAACCATCCAGAGAAACACACACACAAAAGCAATATTGTGTACATTTGGCATGTGTGAAGATTGCTGCTCGCCCTGTTCTGGTCAAGACTGGTCGCTCCACGCCACCCCACCAGAGTCACTTCAGTTGTGTTGTCAGGAAGTGCCCAGCTGCTCGATAAGACCAGAGACTATCTGGCAGTGAAGACGCTAGAGGGAGCTCAGGGGCTGGAGGTGCTGCAAAAGGCAGATTTCTTTTTCACTCGCCTCGTATCTGGCACTGTCTGTCCCAGTCCGTTTGTGAGACCGAAGATGGAGGCAGCCATGACTAGTACCCAAAGCAAAAACGGAAAACAAAAGCCATGGCAATGTATTAGGACCACCCAAAATGTAATAAAATAGCGTGCAGGCTTGGGAGTTTGCCAGAACTCTCCACAAAATGCAATATGTAAGAGGAAAACCACCCAAGTCAGAATTTATGCAGTACATTTTGATCCTTCCTTTCTGCCATGTAGCTTACAGGGCTGGGTGCATGATTCTCCCCCCCCCCCTTTTCCATTTTATCCTCACAACAGCCCTGTGAGATCGCCCACTCACCGGGTGCGATTCATGGCGGAGAAAAAGGATTCAAACCTGGGTCTCCCAGGTCTTAGTCTAGCACTGTAACCAATGCTCCCTCTAAGCTGTGGAGTCTTGTGAGCAAAAATTCTACTTTGTGAGCCACTGGCAATAAAGTGGTGAGCGAGCGATTGGGCTGCTGCCTAAATTAGTTTGCTCTGGAGCCATCCTCCCTGAGCGAAGACAAAAATCCGTGAGCCAGAGGCTAACTTAGCTTGGAGGGAACAACTGCTGAAACATACTGGAGACCTTAGTCTGCCAAGCTAGTCCGATTAAAAAAATCATTAACATGACCAATGTTCCCTCTAAGCTGAGGAGACTTGTGAGCAAAAATTCTACTTCGTGAGCTACTAGAATTAAAGTTGTGAGCAAGCAACTTGGCTACTGCATACATTAGTCTGGTCTGGAGCCCTCCTTCCTGAGCTGAGACAAAACTGTGTGAGCCAGAGGCTAAAAAACTGTGAGCTAGCTCACACTAACTCAGCTTAGAGGGAACATTGAACATGACCTCCCTACCCACCCTGACCTCTATTTGCTCCACTGCTCCTGCCTTGTCGGAACAGAAGCTGGGTCACTTCAATATTCTGCACCTGATATAGTAAATTTTGAGCACGAAACAGAACTGAAACATGTTTTGAAGACGCAGAGACTGGATTTATACCCCACCTTCCCTACCCGAAGGAGTCTCAGAGCGGTTTACAATCTCCTTCCCTTCCTCTCCCCGCAACAGACACCCTTTGAGGTAGGAGGGGCTGAGAGAGCTCTGACAGAAACTGCACGTGAGAGAACAGCTCTGAGAGAACTGGTGACCAATGTTCCCTCTAAGCTGAGTTAGGGAGAGCTGGCTCAGTTTTTTAGCCTCCAGCTCACACATTTTTGTCTTAGCTCAGGAAGGATTGTTCCAGAGCAAATTAATTTATGCAGTAGCCAAATCTCCTGCTCACAACATTAATGCCAGTAGCTCACCAAGTAGAATTTTTGCTCACAAGGCTCCACAGCTTAGAGGGAGCATTTCTGGTGACTGACCCAAGGTCACACCAGCAGCTGCATGGAAGGAGTGGGGAATCAAACCCGGTTCTCCCAGATTAGAGTCTGCGCTCCTAACCACCACACCAAACTGGTTCTTGCACCAAACTTGGGAACAGGAATCCCCACACCAGTTCTCTTACTATGAATTAAACAAAATGAAGCAAAACCTCAAATTTATATTTGATCCCACAGTGAAATTATTCAGTTTTCTCCCCCCCCCCAGCACCTTTCACTTCTCTCGCAGAAGCTGCACTGTTTGATGATGTTCTGTTTGTGGTATGCGAGTATTGCTCAATAAAGGAAGGCCTAACTAACACCACACACCTCCAAAAGCAAGTCCCTCCCTCTTTAAAGACTATTCCCCATGCCAAGGACCAAGGTGACTTGGGCAGAATATTTACGCTCCCTGTTCAGGGAGTTTGTCGAGAGCAGCTCTGTACCACTTGCTGTGAAATGCAATTAAAATACTGACCCCCCCCCCACCCATGCATGTGACTGCAGTGGGGAGAGGGTGAACTTTCCACCACCACCCCATTGCTCACTTTGAAAATGATTCCCTCCCAGGGTCTGTTTCTTGAAGAGGCATTACGCACCCAGACTCCGGCAAATACATCTGTCTTGATTCACCTGGATTTTTAAAAGAAATGCTTCCACTCGCCTGTACACTTGCCTTTGGGACTATCAGCTGGATTCAGAAAAAAAATCTCTTATAATAATGTATAACCAACACATACATGCAGCTGCCTGCTGCCGTGTTCTCT